GGGGGCACCAGTCATCTCCTGTCTTTGCCCTTGGGTGTTTGTCACCCATGGGTGTATAGTGCCATGCACTGTCTCACCAGGATGTCCCCATGCTGGCATGTCCCCTGTCCCTGTGTCCTACCCTGGAGAGGTCCCTGGGATGGGGAATAGGTGGGGATGCACACCTCCTTGCACCATGAGACATTGACACCATCAAACACTCACAGCAAGTGTGCACACCCACAGCAACGCCCCTTCCCCGTGCACACCCTGCCCCATTGCCTACCCTCACCCTAGCAGGTCCTGGTGCCATTGGTAGCCCCACTGTCCCCACCCCAGGGTGCTCCTGTGGCACATTCTCTCCCCAGGTGTGTGCTGCAAGAACCAGGAGGAGAGGCTGTTCCAGGACCTCATGAGCAACTACAACCAGAACCTGCGCCCAGCGCTGCGTGGGGATGAGGTCATCGATGTCACCCTCAAGCTCACCCTCACCAACCTCATCTCCCTGGTGAGAGACCCCCTGGTCCCCATAGTGGGATAGAATTTGCCCCCACATGTGGAGCAGTGGGCAGAGGAGGGCAGGATGCTAAAGCCATCTCCCCGTTTTCCTTCCTTGCCAGAATGAGCGGGAGGAGACCCTCACCACCAACGTCTGGATTGAGATGGTGAGACCCCTCACCTCCAGGCAGGATGCTCCCAGGCCATTTTATCATCTCTGGGCAGTAGCCCAGGGAGAGCTGGCACTGTAACCTGCACCCCCTTTGGTGGGTGCCCCTAACTGAGTCCATTTTGGGATCAGTGTGGGACAAGCAACTCACAAGCTCCCTCACTCTGAGGACCCACCATAACCCCCCCTCTTTGCTCCATTTCCCCTAGCAATGGTCTGATTATCGTCTGCAGTGGGACCCTGAAAAATATGACAACATCCAGCTGCTACGAGTGCCCTCCACCATGGTCTGGCTGCCTGACATCGTCCTGGAGAACAAGTAGGTGATGGGGCAATAGGGATACATCCCCACACAGCAGGTGACAGCTGTTCCCTGGGCATGGTTTGGGCCTGAACCAACCCTTTCATCCCCAGCATTGATGGGACATTTGAAATCACCCTCTACACCAACGTGCTGGTGTCCCCCGACGGCAGCATCTACTGGTTACCTCCTGCCATCTACCGCAGCGTCTGCTCCATCCATGTCACCTATTTCCCCTTCGACTGGCAGAACTGCACCATGGTCTTCCAGTGAGCATGTGTGGGCACCTTGACAGGTCCTCCTAGGACACAAGGGATTGGCATGGGATGTCCACCTTTGACGTGGGGCGATGAGGCCCCAGGCAAACTAGTGACATTTACCTGTCCCTTGGCAGCCCATCGGTGGCAGAAGGCACCTTGGCCAAGCCAAGCACTCCAAAGCAGAGCTGGAGGTGGCTGGAGTGACCCAGTGTCACACTGGCAGCCTTTGCCAGTGCTGCCTGCCAGCTTGTGCCACCTCCTCATCCCTCCCCAGGTCCCAGACATACAGCGCCAACGAAATCAACCTGCTGCTGACAGTGGAGGAAGGTCAGACCGTGGAGTGGATCGTCATAGACCCCGAGGCTTTCACAGGTAGCACTACTGTCACCTTCCTGCCATAAAAGCACCCCACCTCGGGGGGCATCAAACAGGCCTGGTGCTGTGCTGGTGGCTGCCCAAAGCAAAGCTGCAGGGGCTATTAGCAGCTCTTCCGGGGCTCTCACGGCCTGGCAGCCGCTCCTGGAGAGCACCACTCCTGGGAGCTTGATTGATGCTGGGAACGAAGCTGCCACGGCCAAACGATGACGTTTTTCATCACATTTTAATTGCATATTGAAGGAACAAAATGCTTTTTGGGCAGAGAGATTTATTTTTTCATTACCGGCCCGAGCTGTGATCTTGATTGGGAAAAATCTATCGCTCCCGCAGACAGGAGGGGAAAACAGCCGTCCCCCCGCGTCACGCTCGGCTTCCCCCCACGGTGCCCTCGGGACAGGGAGATGGGGGGAGCTCCGACCCACATATAATGCCCTGAGTGCCCCCAAGGGGCTCAACATGCCCCATATATGCCCCCTCCAACAGCCTTTAGGGGTATTTTGCCTGGTACTCCACAGTGCTCATCTCCCTCTCCACTGGCTCTAACACCCTTCCCTTCACTGTCCTGTGGGATCCACAGTGACCACCAGTCCCCCCCTTCCTCTGGCACCTCGGGCCTTGGGGCTGGTGCCCCCATGCCCCCAGTGGAGTGGTGGGACTCACACAGCACCACTGCACATCAGAGAACGGTGAATGGGCCATCAAGCACCGCCCTGCTCGGAAAATCATCAATTCAGAGCACTTCACCCCAGATGACACCCAGTACCAGCAGGTCGTCTTCTACCTCATCATCCAGCGCAAGCCACTCTTCTACATCATCAACATCATTGTGCCCTGTGTCCTCATCTCTGCCATGGCTGTGCTGGTCTACTTTTTGCCAGCCAAAGGTAAGACACTGCGATGTGCAAGGCCCCCCGGGGCTCTCACGGCCTGGCAGCCGCTCCTGGAGAGCACCACTCCTGGGAGCTTGATTGATGCTGGGAACGAAGCTGCCACGGCCAAACGATGACGTTTTTCATCACATTTTAATTGCATATTGAAGGAACAAAATGCTTTTTGGGCAGAGAGATTTATTTTTTCATTACCGGCCCGAGCTGTGATCTTGATTGGGAAAAATCTATCGCTCCCGCAGACAGGAGGGGAAAACAGCCGTCCCCCCGCGTCACGCTCGGCTTCCCCCCACGGTGCCCTGGGGACAGGGAGATGGGGGGACCTCCGACCCACATATAATGCCCTGAGTGCCCCCAAGGGGCTCAACATGCCCCATATATGCCCCCTCCAACAGCCTTTAGGGGTATTTTGCCTGGTACTCCACAGTGCTCATCTCCCTCTCCACTGGCTCTAACACCCTTCCCTTCACTGTCCTGTGGGATCCACAGTGACCACCAGTCCCCCCCTTCCTCTGGCACCTCGGGCCTTGGGGCTGGTGCCCCCATGCCCCCAGTGGAGTGGTGGGACTCACACAGCACCACTGCACATCAGAGAACGGTGAATGGGCCATCAAGCACCGCCCTGCTCGGAAAATCATCAATTCAGAGCACTTCACCCCAGATGACACCCAGTACCAGCAGGTCGTCTTCTACCTCATCATCCAGCGCAAGCCACTCTTCTACATCATCAACATCATTGTGCCCTGTGTCCTCATCTCTGCCATGGCTGTGCTGGTCTACTTTTTGCCAGCCAAAGGTAAGACACTGCGATGTGCAAGGGAGCAGTGACAGGTGAGGACAGGCTCATTGTCCCCTCTGTGCTTGGAGACCAACAGTGCCATCTCTCACCCACTCCTGTAATATCTGGGGGGGTGAATTTCCAGGTACCTCATGGTTAAAGCCTCATGGCAGGACTTGGGCAGTTTAACTTTGAGGTGAGGGATATTTGCCAAAGGAGGGCAATACCCACATCACTGCCCCGTGCCAACTTCTGCTTTCCTTCTTCCTTGGCAGCGGGTGGGCAGAAATGCACTGTCTCCATCAATGTCCTCTTGGCCCAGACCGTCTTCCTCTTCCTCATTGCACAGAAGGTGCCCGAGACCTCCCAGGCTGTGCCTCTCATTGGGAAGTAAGTGATGCACAGGGACAGGGGTGCCAGCTCGGCAGTCACACCATGCCAGAGGGGTCTCTGGATGTCATGAAGCAGCCAGTACCCAGGAACAGGACCCTGGCCCAGAAACAACCCCCAGACCAGTCAGGGCTGTCACAGGGCTACCATGTGCCTGTGTCCCACTGCTGGTTCCCCATTTCCTGGCCAGGAGGACACAAATAGGGAACTTACATGCATGTGGCTTGTGGCTCAGCAGCTCCTTGTGAGGCCTCATGTCCTCTCCCCAGGTACTTGACCTTCCTCATGGTGGTGACAGTGGTGATCGTGGTAAATTGTGTCATCGTCCTCAATGTCTCTCTGAGAACACCCAACACTCACTCCATGTCCCCGAGAGTTCGCCAGGTACCCACTGTCATCCCTTAGCCCCTTTTATGTGAGGAATGGGGTGGGTATGTAGGGGCCAAGGGGTTGCCACTTGCAGAGTGGGGTGGCAGGCATGCCTTAATCTGAGTGCAAGTCCTGGCACAAAGATGGATCCCCAGATGTCCCCAAGGGACCCCACTGTGTCACCAACCCCCTCCAAGTCACTACCAAGGACTGTGGAAGGGTGGGTGCCAACACACCTGGCATCCCTGTGGCAGAAGGGCAGCCCACAGGGATGCAAGGGGACCCAATCACACCTACTGGATGCCCCATGTGGTGGTAGTAGGGTCAGGTCCCTTCAGGTGACACTGTGCCCAGGTGTTCTTGCACCTCCTGCCCCGCTACCTGGGCATGCACATTACGGAGGAGACACCGGGGCCACCACAAGCCACCCGGAGACGCAGCTCTCTGGGGCTCATTGTGAAAGCTGATGAGTACATGCTCTGGAAAGCCCGGACTGAGCTGCTCTTCGAGAAGCAAAAGGAGAGGGATGGGCTAATGAAAACTGTGCTGGAGAAGATTGGTAAGTACCTGTATGGGGTTGGCACCTCTCCGTGAGGCTGGGTGACGTGCCAGGCAGCCGGGTGCTCACCAGTGTCCACTGTGCTGGCTCTGCTGGCTGTAGGACGTGGCCTGGAGAGCGGCAGTGCCCAGGACTTCTGCCAGAGTCTGGAGGAAGCAGGGCCTGAGATCCGTGCCTGTGTGGATGCCTGCAATTACATTGTCAATGCCACGCGGGAGCAGAACGACTTCAGCAGCGTGAGCTGGGGCCAGGGTGCTGTGGAACCTGCACGGGGGGCAGCAGGGCCAGCCCTCACCCCTCTTTCTGTGCCACTGGCAGGAGAGCGAAGAGTGGATCCTGGTGGGACAAGTGATCGATCGCGTCTGCTTCTACATCATGGCTTCCCTCTTTGTGTGCGGCACCCTTGGCATCTTCCTCATAGCTCGATTCAACCAGGCACCTGCCCTGCCCTTCCCTGGGGACCCTAAGCAGTACCTGCCACAGTGATGCCCACAGGCACTCTCCAGCCCTCCATCTGCCAGGACCACTGGTACCAGGGGCTGGGTGGCCCCCGACCCGCCTGGCTTGGTGAGATG